TTCATATTATTATGGATAAATCGCAGCGTGGATAAATACCATTCCAATTTTGAGATACCTGTTGTAGTTAGAGTTCAATTGACAGTGGAATGTCAGTGGTACAAGCTATATACTGTCAGATGATCAGCTACCGGTAACATCTTCGTTTGCATATCGAAACACTTGCTATCGAGACTTTCTATTTTCGCTGTAACAAGTAACATTACCGTCAGAGTGGTACACTTTTGTGCGAACGGCCAGTAGTATATCGCGTACAAAAATAGCCCAATTTATTTATCATGGTCGTATGAAACGCAGCTCATGGGCACATTTTTGGTGGGACTGAGTGCTTCACATTTTGGATAAAAAAGAACTGTGAAAAATACATTAAGCTTATGAGTAGTGCATTACATCTATGCAAAAATACACCCAATTTCTTTTTGCCTTGAGTAATTTTTACACCTTTTTAGATACACTTTATAGTTACACCCCCAAAGTCGATGGAACCTTCGTTCAAGAAATATAGAATACCTCAAAGTAAAACCGTCTGTGACGACCGTATGCAATGAAGAAGGTCCTTTTCAGAGACAGAACATTTATTCTCAGACCACACGAACCAGCTACTGGTCTTTTTAACTAGTGACGGACACTTCGCGCTAGTCGATTAACCTTGAATTACACTAAGGGTAATATATGCAGTCTGGTACAATTTGCAGGGTTGTTACCTTTGAAAGACAGAGGTTGGAAATATACCAAAAAATCACTAAATTATTCCATGACTGATAATAAAGTCACGGGTATTATGGACGATTCACTCCAGTCGGACACTTACGGAACGAGTCTCTAAAACAAGTGATCGTAGTCGGTTGCATAGCGCACGACATGTCATGTTCCTTAAGTTCAAGTCAACTCGGAAGATTCATTGCAGCATTCGAACACAGACGTTTAAGTGTTGGTCACTGGAAGAATTTTTTCTAAAATAATCTCAGGTACGCACGAATGTATGGTACCCACAGGGGGGTTGTGTTTTTTCATAATCATATTTGGTGCCACAGTCACTGGTCTATATGGAGGTCTGACCCATCTTCAGGTTACCGTCGAGCACAATTCTCTTCTCGTTTGCATTTCGGACAGTATTTTAAGGTGTCATAACAGTCTCTATTATCAAGCAACCTCACATTTCGGCCGGTTGGTCATCTCCAGTAGATTGGGAAGCACTAGAATTCTTCAATCATTAGTAATGTACGGGCTTTCTTGCCCGTTCCAATGACTGAAGCCTGCCAGTCCGATATGGTATGAGAAAGAAGTATTCAACGCTGATTATTTTCGGAGGGCATACCTCACGAGAAAATATTTCTTTCAAAAGGTATCTGATTGATACCTTCTAACATCAGTCAGTGGGAAAGCCTAGTGCACAAGGACCGGTACCCACAGTTAAATGCATTCTGACAGTTCCACTTTGCAGAAACAAACACATGAATGTCGAAAAACCCAACACCATCGACGAAAACAACCTACTCCGGTCATGAATTTGAGCAACGTGTTTTGCGCTCGGAACACTGTTATGTCACCCATCAATCTGTAGGAAAAAACTAAAATTCTACTTCATATTGCACCACTTTCTTAGTGATCATTTCAGTGGGGAACAAATTATGCCAGGAGAAAATCTTTGCCAACAGAACTGTGTCCCTTGTAAACCACTCAAAAGGAAACGACCGCTGCGACACTGAGAAAGGGATGTTTTATTGTTCTCAAAGTTGCAAAGTTATCTCATTAGGATATATTAACACAATGATGAAGAACTGAAAATTAGCCACCAATTTACTCCAGTATTAGTATTAATACTACGGTGCACTGATCATTTTAAACAGTTGCTCAATCACTAGGAAAACATCCGATTCGGAGGCGGTGCCTGAACAATGTCTATCAAGAAGATCTTCTTAATACGCCGGTCTTTAATCTCCTGTTCTACCAGCGCTCCGTGTGACACATCAATAAGTTCCGCCTCTAAAGTGTTGTGGTGGATAAAGTAACAAGCAACACTTGGGGTACGAAGTAGTAGTTTGTCAAAGTTCTATTGTGTATGAAGTTATTCTCCTCTAAGGTAGGGGAAAGGCAAAAGATATTTTAATTTATCAAAAGATTTCCCGACTTCACACAGCAACAAATTTTGTTGAACAATGACGTAAGCAACTTTCTCCTCCCTGTTAATTATTCATGCCTTGAATAGCTGACGACAATAAGCGAAGTAACCCGATTCAATAAGGCTTTCATCGGTGTGCTCCTTCAAAGTAATTTCCGCAAGAATGTCTGATTCAAAGAGCAATCAGTTCTTCTTATCAACTTTACTCAATAAAAATGACTGTTGGTTGCTTACCCACATAGGATTTTGGAATATCGCTTTTTCTAAATTGTCTCTATAAAATTAGAGTATTTTCTCAGGTGCTCGCTCATAATTTGGTGGATTTTATGGACAACTCGTTAAGGTCACCATGGAAATAACCTTGTGCATCTATAAATATAGATGCATTAAGAGGTACAACACAACAATATCTGGGGAAACAAGTGAACGAATGTAAACCTTTCGCATAGGGAAACAAGTTTCATGATTCATGAGTTTGGAATGCAACTAATTAGAACAATCTATCAACCTTCATGGGTCAAATTACGTAATGCGCGGCACCCTTCTAAGTTCCACAATTAGTTTCACTCTTTTTAAGTCTCACCAGGCAAGCGCATTCCTCGAGTTTCTGCCAACATAATGTTTCAGAATTGGGTCGAATCACTCGTTATCAACAACTGGATTTCCGATTGAGGATATGTTGACAGTTGAGTACAATGTAATGTTAATGCACAACAAGTGTTTGACGAGAACTCGGGGTCTGCATCTACTTGATGACTCCCAAAATGAACGAAACCGATCACAGGCTGTGGGCACAGTAATGCGTACTGTTCCGTTAAGAGAACGCACTTCGGTATCAGGAATACCGTACCAAACGAGACATAATGCATTGTTTTTGTATTACAATCATTCGAAGAATGGCATGAGCTGGGGTTAATCAGAGTCACCAGTTAACATCAAATGAATTTTCGAATGAATTCACATCGTTCATTCCAACAAACTGCCTTACAAACAAAGCTTGCCCCTCAGCTTAGGCGTTATCAACCTATGATGCTCAAAACCGGCATAAATATGCAAGCCTCCCGCTTTTTCGCGTGAAATAAACCGATACGCATAATTCCGTAGACCACCACTTAACTATCTGCTCAGGTCCTGCTCCCCGAATGATTTTAAAAAGCAGTATTCATGCCAAAAGACGTACAAAAGCTGTTTATCTCTGATATGCATAGAAAAGTGGTTTGTACGCTGGCTTAAGAGTTTAAGGATAGGCCTGATCTGCATCGTCACCCGAGCAAGAGTCTCACGTGACTTTTTCACGTGAGACAACTGTTTGTTAACGCTTGGCGCTAAAGCGTACCAAAACATATCCACAAAATGTCCAGCCGGACCTTTCTATTTGACGTTATTTTAGCTTCGCGCAGTCGGCTTTAGGGAGGCACTGATCACATCTGAATATCACGGGCAAAAGATCTCATCCATTATTTTCTCACGAAAATTCGTACCGGCATTTTTTCCTCTTAATTAAGGTGCCTATCGAGAAAATAAATGATATAAAACCGGCTTTCACTTTTTGCTATACTAGCCCATTGTTTAGTTCAGGATGTTAAGGGAGCGTGTATATTTCGACCAAAAAATCGCAAGCTGGATGTTGACAACATCCAAAGTCGGTTACAATTCATTCGGACGACTGCGAAATCCAGGGATAATGGTTCAATTTTGCCACTGTTTAAAGAGGAAGGAGTATCAATGAAAATAACTTGATATCCCCAAAGGTAGAACTTTGGGGTGGCCTACGATTATAAGCGACTATTTGCGAAAACAATCTGGGTAGGACTGGTACAGAAATCATCCCTTAGTATGTTTCCCTTCCGATAGGTACCCGTAAAAGCCATAGAAATGTATGATTCCTATTAGTAAAACTCATGCTATAATCTAGAGATTTACCTCCATAGTAAGCAAGGACAAGCACCATTGAGAACACACAAAGGTTAACCGCATGAGTTTGCAAATATTTCATACCTACAAATTCACCGGAAAACAGTCCCGATTTGACTTTTCGTTTTCTTGGCTGTAAAAGTGCGATTCAAATTGAATCCGTCCCTTCCGGCCAAACTAAATCAAAATCCAGATCCACCATTAGAGTTGAATAAGCTGCGTTTGTTTATTGTACACATTGTATTGTTTTTGGCTGGCGCATTTTTCTTTAATTCCTTGCGTTGTTGCCGTTGATCTCACTTCCACAGTCATGACAACCGGTAATATACCAGCGTATGAGAGAGTGGAGGCATGGCTCATGGAAAACCCGTCAAAAGTGGCGAATGGATTTGGAGTGGAAAGAAGCCGGTATGGAATTTTTTGTGTGCATCTCCTTCCTTATCCGTGTGCGATTTACACGGTTTCTCCTTTTAGGAGAAATGTTTTGAAAGAATGGTCTAAGAACGATCGCTTTTGTTCGTCAATCCCTTACGAAGAAAAGTCAGAGGTCAATAATATCTTCTGGTAAACTTATCAGAGATCTTGAAATTTTTCATTTTATAAGTAAATCGCTAAATTTTGAGCACTTGGAAACGTCAACTTTGATGTAAATTCCACCAGAGCAGACCGGGCATTTTATCAGTTAGAGATCACAACGGTGAATATGCTGCTAAACAAGATCGTCTGGCAGGTTTTATTGAGTGAACAACGTCACACACAGGTCAGGGCTATTTGAAGTGTTCACAGAAATGGTGGATGATTCCAAAAAGCTTGGTTATGTTACGTGTTGTTTCGTCCCCGAAATCAAATTCACAAAAATTTATCTTCAAATCAGTCAGAATCTAATGGAAGACCATGTATAACCGCTAGGAAGGAGTATCCTTTTCATAACCATTGAGGTTGTGACTACACTGATACTGCTGACCAAACAAATGATTCTAATTAGTGTTAAGAAGACTTTGGGCTGTCAAAATTACCGTGCAAGTTTGATGGACGCACAATACTAGATCAAACTAAGTCAGTACATTGCCGGATGGATCATAATTTGGTTCCATAAAATGTAAACATGAAATACAACTGAGAAGTTACGGTTGATGTTTGAACACCTAGCACCGTGATAGGGTCCGACTCCAATGTATCACGGGAAATTTTTTAGACCTTCTGAAATGTCACATTTTGTATAGACTTTATTAAAAGCAGGATACAGCACTAATTTGGCGCTTATAAATGACACACCAGAAATCACATAACATAATGCTAACTGAGTTTGCTTTTATTTATAAACCCAAAGTTTGTAAAAGGAAAAAGTTTGTGGTCGTTCGTAAGTGACCAGAAGCCGAACGCGTAACTTGAAAGCTAGTCAGTAATTTTCCCCAAACCTGTGCGACAGGTAAAGCACCAGTCCAAAGAAGCGAAAACCTAGATAGTGTTTAAATTTGTGGTTTAATTTTTTCACACGAACTGTCAGAAAAAATCTTCTCTCTAATATGTTGGTGTGCTTGCTACTTATAATTGAAAGCAAAAAAGAGTTTCAGTGAAGTATACTAAACTTATGACGATCACCGGAGGAAAATTCTATGGAATATGGCTACTTTCCAAGGCCGTATGATTAATGATGGTAAAATTAAAACCAGTTACGAGATGACAGATATGGTTTGTTTCACACTTCGTCGGAAATTTGGGGAAAACTGTTGGTTTGGTTTCCGAGACACTAATATTCCCCCATGAATATTAAAAAATCAATTGGCGGGTAGTGGCAAACGAGAATGTTCCGAAAAATTCTAATTCGGTTAAGTTCCATGTAGACCTTTTTAGCCAATCAAGCTTACGCACTGACACAATCAGAAAGTCAAAGTTGTTTTCAAATAAGCTGAATGTAGCTGCCGGGTCGACAACGTAAACCACCGAAAGTAGGCATAATCCGGTCACAAAACTGAGCACCTTCGGAGAAATTCTGGATGACTTACCTGATAAAACCAGTCCACCACTCCGAAGGCTTGAGAGAATGCAGCCTACAACGCAGTAAACTTAATATGAGTGCTACGAAATTTAAAGATATGAACACTGGAATGCCACCTAAGCTCCGTGATCGAATGGTGAATTTTCGTTGATCCTTTTAGCACTATTCTATTCAATAAGTGACACGAAGTTCCTGCAAAACTCACCTAAAAATTGTAGTCCAACCAATGTCATCAATTTATCCACTGGTTATCGTTAGATGCGAACAGCAGTTAACTGGGACGCGGTTTACCATATATTTGGGCTGACGAGAAGCTCGAATAAACCAAGATATTTGTTGCTTGAATGCCTTCATTGGTGGTTGATCATCATTGAGCTGCTTTTTAAGCTAATTTCCAAGCTCGGCGGACACATCAAAAGCCACAACTCACATGGATGTAATAAGCGACTTGCTACACTGACGAGTTTTCATCAAGCTAGGAGCAAGCCACGTAGATTGGGTTTCTTTAAATTTGTTTGTAGTTCATTTTTTTTAGCATGATGAAGGTAATGTTCTGTCTCTTCCAGATGCTCTAAAATTAAATTAGAGTAAATGGGTGCCTGAAGCAAGCTGTGGGTATTTTGCCGCTGAATTTTGCAGGTTATCTCTGGGAGATGGACAGTGAAAGGCCGATGCAAAAATCTTTTTAAATTTGCCACATGAGTTGCAAGTAACTCAACTGTTTTCCTAATGATATATCAGTTGAATAACTGGACACCGGTGAAATCAAATGATGGTACGCCAATTATAGTTTGACATCGACTGCAAGGGTACCATCAACGGACCTGTCAAATAAACCGTGTCATCCTGTTCCCAGGTGAAATCCTGCTTGTCATTCAATTATTTTTTATTTAATGTTTGACTTTTTTCATAAACACTAACCACGAAATTCGGTTGTCACACTGAACAATACACGGATATTTGGGTTCTTCAGAATTCAATTAATATGATGGTGATAAAAAATTATATAACTTGAGTGATTCGGATTGAGTTGATTTGCGATATCACATGTTTCCATGAATTAATTGGGAATCCGTAGGAGGCAGTTAGTGCACACGACTCGTCGGTCCATACAATGAAGGTTATCTTTGATTTACCAAATTTTCACCAAATGAATTAACAGCCGAAGACAGTCACTGCCATTAATTGTCTATTTACGGTACTGTCACGGAGAACCAGCTGTCGTATTACAGATATTTAACGGTACCGCTTGAAGCTTGGGAGGGAGGGGGGTGAAACCTCTGCATATTGTTACGATCGAACAAGATAGATCTATAAGAGTTCAGTTGGTCTAGTAACCTTCCTTCCATCTAACGGTGTTCATTCCTCCACATTGTGCGTTTAAGTTACGTGTCTAACTGACGAGCTGAGAGTCAGGATGTTAGCGCTGTTTGGGGATTTCTGAGGGATATTTGGTTTTCATATAATAAATCATCTTTATTTGAGTTAAACACACGGATCCAGCTTGCTTCATATAAAAGGTGGTAGGATGTTTATAACGTCATTTCAAATTTTTCTTGCGAGGGAAGTCATCGCGAAATACCTCACTGTGTTAACCAGAAACACGAATATGATTTCCGGCACTGTTTTCCCAACAAGCGTGTACTTGATGCTACAAACGTGAATCAGGGCCAGAGGAGGACCAGATGAAAATCGCTATCATCAAATGGTTTTCCTGAATCTTGCAAGCTCCAAAATCCATCCACTTAGAATGATGGAAACGTGGAAAAGATGACATTGGCTCTGCACCTCCATACCTATTTCTTTTATCACAGCTCTCCTTAAAAATGGTTTAGGTAAAACCCGAAAACTTTTAAGGGGTTCCAGTGTGCTACATGGAACTGTAATGGAAAGCTGGCTTAAAATGTGTTTTTGATGGGAATGCAGATCTTTTTTTAATTACATATGGCTTGTACTCTGATTACACGATCCAAGATATAAAACACGGCGTACCTATTGCACGTCTTTAAACAATTTTGGCTTTGTTTATTATGCTTCTTCAGAATATAACAATCAAAATGTCTTAATGTGATTTGAGCAACCCAGTAAGAAGAAAATAGCGGATGGATTGTATGTGACTGACAAACTAAAAAAATGTATGTCAGACGACGGTTAGTGAGAAACTAGATAGCGGATCTCGACTGTAGATATGTTACACGAAATCGGATGTAAACCTGGAGTTTATGTCTGTTCTCATAAGAATACAGTAAACCAGGCTTCAAAGGACGCTTTACAGTTTACTGATTAGACAGTGAGGCTTGAAAATAAGCCTCATTTATCGTCATTTGCATGGTTAGATATGTGCCTGTCTACATTTTATGGACCAATGCTGCACAGGAATTACCCGTCCATACTTATTTGCAGCAAAGTTGGAGTTGTCGTGTGAGCGGTGACTGGGTTCATGTGTGACACGTGGGAATTATTTCCCAAAAATCGAGAATAGGACGTAGTTCTTGCTTAAGAACTCAGGAAAATTCGATGTTCAGCTTACAGTACTTTGCAATAGATGAACGTAATTACACTTAGCGCACAACACAACAAACGAAAGTAGCAATGATGGTCAGGGAAATTCCGAAGCTAACTCATTTGTAGCTAATAGAAGATTTTGTTTAAAGAGACCATTTAGCTTTCTACCATGCTAGTATCAGGTATCTCGAGTGGTAGTCAAACGGAGAACAATCCGTGAGTGGACAGTTCAATGAATAAACTCATCTTAGATTAGCAAACATAGTAATTAAAGCAAACAATTGATGCGACTCTCCATGTTAAAAATTTAAAGCACCTTTAATTATGTTTTTGAGGTTGCCAAGAGGGACATCTACCACAAAGTATTATTCGGATAGCCTGATTTAATCTAATATACACTGTATTTTTCCAGCTAAACACTACATCAAAACTTTAAAAATGTTTCGGATGATAGGTTAAACGACATGAAGAGTAATATATAGAAACTTTTACATCTTTAATGACTACACAAAAATTTTTCAAAACACAGCAAGTGCGATCGCGAGTGAAACACTTAAAGTCTCTGCATTATTCTCAATGTTTTCGTTATACAACATTCGCTATTGAAAAAATTTGTCCATGTCATCGCTTTAGAAAGTAATTCTCAAACCGATCTACACTTTTAGGCGCAAAATGAACAACACGAGACGCAGAACGGTAAGTTTTTGTTAACTCACATGATAGAGACGCATGAACTTTCAGAGTCCTTTAAACCATTTGGAAGTTCCTGTTTTTTCTGTCTTGTTACTAGACTGAGTTTGAGTAACTGCTTCTCGATGCACGTGCATAAGCCCAGACATACTCCGGCGCAGAGGGAACGATTTTATCTGTGTTTTAGACAAGGCTGGGTTGTTTATTGCATTCTGAAAGACAATTATTATAACACAACGCTTTTAACGGGCAGCAGTAAAAGTTTTCNGCTGAACCTCAAACCAATGAAGGCCGTTTTCTCTTCCATACCGGTCTTGACCATATAGTCATATCCTCAGTGGAACATATGGTTCGTTGGTCGTTGGTGTCCATTGATCAGAGTTTGCTCTTGCCAGGCATTCTATAAGCTAATTTGGCCGAGTTGTTGGTGAAATTTGGCATCTGGAGTTATAAACTCTTCCCATTACTTATATGAAGTCAATTTTATGCGTTTGAGCGCCAAGCATATGCTTGCAATATTCATATGTCAGCGATAGTTATAGGGTAAGGCAAAATTGAAGATGACCATTGTGGTAATCCTTAACAATTTCTCGATCAGAGTATACATTTTATCTTGATAATTTTGAGATTAGTCGCTCTCCTAGTGTGGCCTGATTTGGGTCAAAATTGTTACCTGAGAGGTACATAAAATCTCAAGGACTTCAAGCTCACCTGCTATACCTTGGGTTTGACGGTGTGATAAAATAGCTCATAAGGTTGATGAATGTGGCACACATCGCTCAGTTTCACTGTTGCTTGCTAAGCAAATGGATGCTTCTATTCACCCAAAAGTGATGACACGTTGACGTTTTGTATTTTGATCTTCTCCTGATTTTATCGAACTAACTGTGATTATATGGAACTTGGTGACTTCACATCACGTTGCATAGCTCTCTTCTTAGAAGTAAAGGACAAACAAAACTGAACGAGATAAATTTACTTGCCGTAGGTTATTCCCAATTGTAAGGAACTGAAACACGAAAAGATTATCACGACGACAGCATAAGGTTTTCTCTTATGGTGAGTAAAGAGTAGTTTCGCAATTAAGCTGCAGTGGATAATTGAAAATCGTAACTTGAGAAATGTTCCTCAGTTAAACATGGAGAGTCGAACTACATTATTCAATAATTCTGTTTAACCTTCATATAAAGAAATCAAACATTGCATACAGGGCGTCGTCAGGAAAAAAACGGGAGGTCTTTTTGTGAAAAAAACTGTTACAGTTATTTTTGTGCCACGATCTATAGTTATGGTTATATTTCCAATGAAATAGAGCGTTAGAGTAAACAGATTTCTGTCAATGAGATATGTAAAATTTCTTTATAGTACTTTGTGCACTCAAACGTCCTCTTTGTTCCTTAAAATGCTTGCAAATGAATTTGCACTCGTTGCATCTTTTTTTAACATAGCATTTGGTTTTCAAAATATGTATTGAATCAAATACACCTCGATTTTAAATAACTTGTGGCAAGTTGATATTGCACCAGGTTCCTGCGTGAAGGTTAAGGAAAACGACATACATGATCACATTTAAATGAGTCATCAGATGAACACACTGAATTGATTATACTACTCCACCCTGTTCAATTGCTGATAGTTCAAAGAGAATGGGGTGCCAAATCAAGATAACAGTTTTGGGAATCGACAAAATAAGCTGTGAGTAAATATAAAGCCTTCTGGTCAGTTTTCAGAGAAACAGGGGACGATTTCATTCAATATCTTCAACTACCTGTAAGCACGTAATTCATATTATTTCGCCACAGGTTTTACGGTAACCTAAAACGGTGCATTTGCGCCGTTACAGTTAAAAATCAGAAGGATGGGTGTAGCCACAAAATAGAAAACACTTGGTAAATCGAATTTCTGGGCTAACCTCCCCTGAATACAGATGGGGTTGAAAATTCCCTATTCATCGAAAAAAAACTGAATAAGCAAAGCATCTACTCCTACAAGTGTGAATTTTTCAGATAATATTTATTTACGCCGAAGTAATGCTATTCTTGAGATGTGCTCAGTAAAGAATATTCCACTAAGCCGTCTTTATCAAGGACACCAGAAAATATCTTGGGTAAACTCCAGAAGCCAAGTATCCTACTTAACACTGTGTACTTTGCTGGCCTTTGACATGTTTTACTGGAAAGAGCGAAATCAGCGCATATTGCCAGAACGCCGACACAAGAGACACAAACAAGGCAACACTCATTCTCCAAATTTATGAAAACGAACACTTGAATACTTCGAAAGTGTGTTCTAAAAAAGGGACCATATTGTGAATTAAGTGATGCATCAGACGTAAACTGTGTTACCGACTGTACCATGAACTCCCATCAATTTCTCAGGATAAATATGGACGATCCGCATTATGATGGATAAATCACGTTCTTGTTCTATATTATCTTCTATATGTGTAGGTTTATACATTTGTATATGCATGGATATAGAGGTATTTGACATATCACAACAAGGGGCATTTTATTTACCATATGCTTATACGCCACAGGCGCGAAATCACGTTATCTTAGATGCTACCTAGACGCTACCCACTTCCCTCTAAAATACACGTTTGATTTCCCAACACCTGAAGTGATTGGTGGAAGTAACGTTCTGGATAATGCAAAACTGGTTTATGTAAAAGATGCATAATGCGCTGGTTATATTCAGTCACTACATAGTGAAAACATCAAAATATGGAGTCTACAAAGTGTACCTGGTTATATGAACTTATTTTGTTTCCGAAAATCGTTTCAGAAGAACTGCGGCTTAACCTAGTGAACTCCCCATGATATCCCTAGTAGCTGAGTGGATTGTGAAGCTAGATATGCCCAGGTACATACAGAGATGTCGTTGAAGTCTTCCTCCTGTAAAAGTTAAATAATTTGCGATGCAACCGAAATGCTCTCATTGTTTGCCTTTAAAAGTTTAAGGCTGTTGAAAAACGCTTCCTGCAAAAACCGGTTACATGCACTAACACTGCACGTGATTCAAGGAGCGCTATTCGGTAATGATACAAACCGAGGCGTCAACTTTTCAAGTTAAAACGTTTGTGCTGAGATAAAACTTGATCAGAAATGCTTATCCTGCTACATCCTATCTTTTTGTAGACGAACGATATTCCATCTGCAGAATATATTCAGTCATCGGCAACAACAAAAGATGATAATATCTCGTTTGGAGTGAACCGGACGTTCAACCTAGACATTAACTCATATGGGACTTTTGCTCTCAATGCGCACACACAGCCACCGCAAGACACAACCCACACGACCAATTTTGCCGACAGATGCCCCAGCCCAGTCAAGTCGATTGAGGATATCAGGTAGGTGAATAACAAGATATTTGGGCGCAAATGCTGCTACCGACCTACCCTTTAGTGTTCTACCACCCAGTTTAACTACAATAGCTTGATCAATTCACTCCATTCCAGAAAATTCAAGATGGCGAATGGTTAAAGGGCTTCCCGAAAGTTCATATGTCTATCCAGAAGTCGTCTAATTAGCTCTTGAAACCTCAGCTGTGGTGAAGAATCCACGTGACGTTCCTAATCTACACGACAACTTATTCGTTATCCAAAGTGCATTTCTCCAACCTGGAGCGGAGCCAATGAAGAATGTCAGTCTGGAGAAACAACGAAAGTCTGTTAGTGGTTAACAGGGCACGAATGGCCATCACTTTGGTTTAAATTTGATTGAAGAGAAGAGAGCTAACCAAGAACGTCTTTCTTATTTTTGTACGGCGTTTCCTAATTTTACTGATAACCATCTATCATTAGTCTGTTATAGGTCGTTATGTATGTTCTTGATTTTTTTCAAAACTTTGCTAAAAAAATGATTCAGAGCCTTGTCGCAGAATCAGTTATGTATGTCTTGATTTTTTCAAAAACTTTGTAAAAAAATGATTCAGAGCCTTGTCGCAGAATCACACGAGCCCAAAAGCACCCTCTATTTGTTTTTCTACGGACTCCTATAGTTCGGGTCTATTGGTCAACGCGAAGCAAATTCTAAAAGGGAAATATCATTACTAACCAATGCTTATTCGTTAGCTGATTAGGGACTTAAGTAGACAAGCTAGCTCTTGTTCTCTTCTGATGGAGTCGATTGCTACTCGACCTGTTTTTCCATACTAATCTCGCGTCAACAGCTTGGCGTAAGAAGAATTACAAACTGGAAACCTTTAGTTGTCGGTCATTCGCCTGATTCTCCTCTTATTCAAACAACTTATAAGTGACGCGTCTTCTTCAAGTTCTTAGAAATAAAAGTGGGTTAGATTAGGTGCTTTTCTAATTTTCATTCAAGCTGTGTGCTTGCTGGCCTTCATTGCATTTGGTAGATTGATCTAATCTACTTGCGAAGGACTCGGGTATCGTCAAACAATGTCATACAATAATCTAAAGACGTTCCAGCTGCCAAAAAATATGCGTACATATAGCTAGAGTTTAATTAATACTCAAACGAGAATTACACACGGTTGCCTTTGGTTGTCTGGGCTTTTTAAGATCAAATGTGCTCCGTGTTCACTGTCACATTTCAACCATGGGATTCCAAAGGTCCTGCCTCCCTTGATGCAAAAAGACCACGTGCATGTGATTGTACCCTGCAACATTCCCGTGCGTGATTTCTACATTCCAAAAGTACTGATTTCTAGCCCTGTCAACTATCACTAGGCAAACATGATAGTGTATTGGCTCGTGACCCAATACAATGAATGTTTTACGCCCAAAAAATTCACACATGGTCACGAACTGCGTTCACTTATGTTTGTATTGCAGAGAGGTTGGTAAACGTAACGTGGTTAATACTTATGTATGCATAGCTATTAGGGGGTTCAATAAACGTCTAAGACGTTATTTCTGGAAGTTAACCGAATTACGCATTTTTGTTAAGGTACCCAGTGGTATATTCTGAGGCCCAAACGTTATATTCCTTAGTAAGCAATATTATTCGTGAACGAAGTAAGCGAAGCGTAAAACTGAAGAGGGATTATCACTGGCATCAGAGTAGAATGATGACACCTGAAAACTTACTGAAATTTTTCATAAATCGAAGACAGTAGACTTGGCCTCCTTCAACCGAAAGGAATAAAGGGGCTCGTTAATTCGGAATCGAAATGTATAGTGCACTGTTTTAAAGTGGTGCATTGAGAACCAAACGAAGAATTATTCTCTACAGCAATCTCGACCAGCCGCAAGCGTTAGTCTCCCTAATAGGCCCTACTGCAGAGGGAAACAAATCCTTTCCGACTGAAACTATTCCATTACGGTTGCCTTTGCGCACCAATCTAGGCGTCCTACATACTTGACCTTCCAACCACAGCGCGAAATGTTTGTAGTTGGTTTTCTTTTGTTTCTTCAGCTGGCATCGTTTAATTAGTTGAATTATCTGAAATCTTCTTCTCAGACTAAGGTCCTTATGGCGTTAATCATCTGCGTAGTACGTAACCACAAAAATTTCGTCCTTCTGAAGGAGACATGTAAACTGATCCTTCGAAATCCCTCCGTACTTGAACAGTCCTAAATGACGAAAGTGGCAGTTCCTGAACAGTTATCCCCGGTGAAGATGTTCTACAAAAATGGGTAGTTAGTCTAGAAAGAAACCAACAACACATTAAACAGGACGAACGAACATAGTATGGTGATGTGTCATTCAAAGAGTACATAGGCAAAGCATTCGAGGTTGAGTTCCCCTTAAGAGCGGATACATCTTAGGGTTCTGAAAATTTGTAATCCCCCTGGAAGCGACTGGGGATACACAGCCCCACAAATAGAACTAGTAATGCTTGAAAAATTGACCGCTGATTGAAAGTTGACAGATTTTCAAATTAGCTAGTGTGAATAGCAGAACAATGGTTGATAGGTCACGTTTCACTGAGTTAAAATGCGCGTAATGTTCGAGGTGATTATAAGCCAGTTAGGTTGTCTGGACAGCAAAACCACTAATTTTGTCGTCCATATAAATCATTGGCTGGGACTCCCGTATTTCAGGTCTTTTGCAAGAGGTAAGCAACCCTTCCCGAGATAGATTATTGACAAGGCTCATATAGATTGTCCAAATCCTATCAGAGACATTGTTTGGGTGTTGGTCGGTTCGAAGAGCTTGCTAGCAGAATTGCAAAAGTTTCACCATCAATCGTGGTATCATCTCAGTATACAGTTGAGCACCTCCAACCCATGGCTTGAATCCCAATGAATACTAAGTTCACAGCCTTGGGAAGATTAGTTGGTCCATGTAAATTTTGATGGCAGAAGGAAGGAAGGATTACAGTGTTCATGGACTCTTCGGACATCCGAACCTTCTAAATTTCTGAATAATTGGTGGGTATCCAGGGAGTATTCTGGACCTACCATTTATGAACCACGGATATATTTGTGTTACAAGTATGTCATACAATTACTAGTGCAGTAAACTTTGAGATTAAATCACTCTCATCACAGCCCAGGAAAAGCGGATATTATATATATATATATATATATATCTTATACATGTACGGATGAGTGATTGCATCTCCGTTGTGCAATGTTTATAGGTCTGCAGCATCTCCAACGTTGTTGACCAACAAAGTTTCGACTTTCGCCGTATCGGACACAGCAGATCCAAAGTATTCATCCACAATGTGGTGCCGTCTCGTTGAACTGTGGAGCACCTTGTTGAATGAGGAAAGAAAGTTCTGGAAACTTCAACTGGAAAACGTTATGCTTCAGCAACGACAACCGAAAAACTCCTCCTTATCCCTTTGGTTTACAGAATTATTGGAAAAGGTTAACCAAATGCACAGCGCCGAAACTGTCATGCTCTGGAAACATGTTTACGAAAATTGGGTACCCCATGACTATCTCGAATACCTGTCGGATGAAATCAGGTAGGATTAGTGCTTGTGCTTTGTGTCACGTGATTTTTGTCTAATATTTCCTTCAGTTCATGTTAAATTATTTTTGGTGCCGATCTCGAGAAGTAATACAGTGAACTTCTCAGCGCTCCAGCCGACCCCCAATACAGTTTGCCGCTTGGGCACAGCGTTCATCGTTCGCCTTGGTGTATTATACTGAACGGAGCAACATTTATTCAACTACTCAAAAGCGATCGATCCGGATTTACCTCCAGACAGTAAATTCAAGCATCCTGATTCCTCAGTAGTTTTGCCATACTATAGCTTAACTCCTGATTTCAATGAACTACTCTTGATTGGGTTTTAGGTTTCGGCAACAGTCCATAAATGTACTATACCTATATAAAACATGTCGTGGACGTTGAAAAGGAAAACTGAATCATTATTCTTAATCTTATGGTGTGGTAGCGAAAATTTTTCGTGTTAAAGTATTCTGATTTGTTCTTTTTTTCTAGCCATTTAGCACTGATCACACTGGTTACTCGAAGGACAATAAATAGTAAATATTATCCAGGTGAAATCAAGCGTCTATTTCTCTCAAAGACATCTACTTTAATGACCAAAAGTAAACTGACTTAAAAAAGCGTGACACACTTTAGGTTCAGTTACGCCTACCAGCGATAAATTCATCTCCTTTACCAGTTTCCAAGAGGAAAACCGATCTTTTATACTGTGTAACGTTGCCCAAATTAATACCATGTAAGCGTTTGACAGAAGTGCTTTTGTTTTCCAAACTTGTTCATAATGATGACCATACATATTCGTGAGCTGTAGTCATCGAAATCGTCATACACATTAGCCAAAAAATCAAATATGTCGACACATTTAGGAACAGAAATCGAAGCAGTTTACTCTTCATTTTTTTGCCAAGGAATTGCACCCGGTTTTAAGATTCTTAGTGAAGATTTATGCCACAAAGTCAATGCTGAAGCCATTTTTCTGACAAATTATAAAGACTTTGGTGCACCTCTTGGACAATTTTTCTTTGCATTTTAGAAAAGCATTGACGTGTCTTCACACAGTGATTGACACTCTGTTTGGTATTGTCGAGTGCACACGCCAACCTAAGTTGAACGATTGGGGACACTTGGATAAAGCACTAATGGACTTGCGGCAGGAAGTGCTCAAACTCAGACATTCGCCACACCAGAGTGCTCTTCACTATGATCCTCGTAACAATGTTGCTGGAACAAAGTCCAATAGCCTGTTAGAGAACGAATTTTCAAGTTTGTCTGCTCAGCGAAGACCATCTGAGGTTTCTGTTGGCGGTTGGCACCAGACTCGAACGTTACTACGGGAATGGTACGTCCCATGATTTTGCACGGATATGGGTTTCGTGAATCATCTGTTTCATTGAGTGCAGTCATAATGTACGAAACCGATTCAAAATGCCATGCAGTTTTGTATAAATATACATGTGAACCAATAGCGAAAGTTACGCGATGTACTCAAAATACTGTCTAGGTTTTCCAGTGTTCTTATCAGTGAGGTGGACTCTGGTCAGGTACCACAAACACAAAAGCTCCATCAATTTACCCACCAGAAACTGCTCAACCATTAAACCATCTCAACATTTCTGTCATTACCTGATGGATCATTTACCGGGGATTTTGATCGTTAGCTGTCACTATCTGAAGGGAACTACAGTGAAAGTCTTTTTAGGTGTACGGGAAGATGAACCTCTGGTTTGGTGATACAGCTTAATCTCATCCATAGCTTATAGGGGTAACCCCAAGTTTAGCCATCTGGCGATCTCGCAGTCCCATATTGAGCACCCCTTAATTCTGGACGAGTCAATCCGTAACACGGCGAAGTAATCGGCAACAAGATTCAATCCTCCTGATTAAAACAATACGACGCAATCTATTAGAGGAAACTGGTGTATTATATGGCTTAATGCACTTCTGCACTGCAAACTCTGGTAAGCATCCACTTGTCACCAAAACTTACGCTTCTGTCACAAGTTATGGAAAATATTCTCCGCAAATTAAAGACCATTCAGCCAGACTAATTCCATTCCTGTCTTATGCAAACATTTGCCGCAACCTTTAACTATAGGGTTGAGGTGAAGTTTATCACGATCTAAGTTGGCAAATGGTCACACATCTATGACCAAATCTGCTCTTGACAAAAAACGTGAAAGAAGTGACCGCTGCATCGTACACACATTTCGTTCCCAATTCACTCAGCTTACTGGCACTGCTAAAAATTGCAACTGACGCATCATTTTCTGCCTCAAGCGTGGCTTGTGATCACGCACAATTTTCTGTAACCTCTCCGGTGGTTGTACTAAAAACCACAAAACCATGAACCAAAGTCCATTAGAATGCATATTAGCGCAATTTGGGTTGCATTGTATCTGTAAAGTTTTCTCACGGGCGTTTAATTTTGGGCCTCGAATCAGCACGCCAGATGTCTGAAAGTGAAGAACAGGTAATGATGGTTTTCGTGCACATCAAGTATGATGTAACAAAAACTATGATCCGTCCGATATACCGTGTGTACCAGCTGGTCTTTGATTGATGCTTGTTTCCAGCGTTTTATAAAAATCAACTTACCATAAGGCTATTCTTGCAGCCATTCACAATTGCTTGAACAAATCTACGGTGTTGCCGAAATGGTTGGAGCAGCATTGGATACAGATATGGGAGATTCCATACAGGTCGCACGACATAACACCACCGGGGATAAGATTAACCCTCTGAGGTCAATTCCAGGCAGTGGACTACAAGTTGCGGCAAAGCTTCAGTCGCTTGTCCTCGACCTGGAGGCACGCTTAGCTGTCACATGCCTCGCTGATGGAGACGGGTCAAACGTGCAAAATCCGACAGCTTTAGATTCAAATTTCGGAAAGTCCATCGAGCATGATGAAGTGGATATACCTCCGTCGGTACCCCTCAAGCACAATGGAAGTAAGCTCCATCCCAATTTTTGGTCACTGGACGAGCCCACGGGATTTAATTTGGAACCATAAAGAACTTTTCATACCGAGCATCAAACCAATTCGTACGCCATCCGTGTCCTAAAGTAAAACTTGCAACTTTGTGAAGATGCATCAGACCATTTTATATTATCTGCTATTCCATCCAAAGTGCATGACAAAATGTACATAGCACACAACGTTTACAATATTTTTCTCCGAATTCCTAATGCTGTGTACGTCTCATAACTATTCCTCAAATAGCAATTCCAACCAGACTCATTTGATGAATCTGACTTGATAGGTTGCGTAAAGCTTGGTCACTTCGGAATTTCCACCATTTCAATCAGAAACAGATCCAAAGCTTTTTGTTGGCTTGAGTATATTCTGAAACGACCCTTCAAAACTCAGTGAAAAAATGTCAACTTACGGTTTCCCGAATTAGGGAGCAAAACATCAGATAACAGCGTTTTGGGCGATGAACTAGTGATGTGCCCACGTAAGCAATGTGTGCGTAGTTTTATCACCCAGGGTGTTCGCGGATACAATAAACCAAAATCCGTTGCATTCGTCTTCAAAATCTTGCACAAATACTTTGTCCGAAACAAACCATCGAAATGATGTTACGGACACGGATAAATCGTCTAAATTTTGGAATCTCCATAAATGTCTGATAAATTTGATGAAAGCACTGCCGTTAGCTAGATAGGTCGTTTGATTGGACCGAACACATGTTATACTGCCTGTGAAACAACTAGCGAGAACAAAAGAAAGAAAAGTATTTTTCAGTAAAGCGGTGACGGAATTCAGCGTGTTGCGCTTTCATCTCCGGATGATGATCAGTTACGAAGATATGAACCAACAGCAGCAACAAACCACTGCAGACTATCCACGGACTAGATCACAAAGAGGGACGGCATTCACTCCAGAAGACAAGGACAGACTGTACTGGACCTACGATAATAAACTAGAGGATATGGTGGGCACCTGGATTTCATGCCCGTCATGCGTGGTGCCCCTAGTTATCTTGCTAAAGATAGAACAGTTTATCAGACTACATAGGCATTTCCATCCAGAAGCTGTATGAGAGCAAAGTTTATTCAAAGTATCCTTCTGACAAGTTCAACCACAGAGTGCGATCGCTAGAGACCACATTTACAAGCCAAACAGTTACACCAGCTGTCTTCATACGGGAGGCGCTTCGGCCTCAGCTGGGCACGTAACTTTGGTGAAACGTCCATAGAAGTCTTCCATCATAAACCATTCTCGCGTCAGACAAACGGGGCTCACATTTTCCTCAGAAGAAAACTCCCATGGCGTTAGATTATAAACCTCACTGCTACCCAGCAAAGGTAATGGATGTTTTATGGCCTTTCAATTCACACAAGAAAATTTGCTTGGAGTTCTATTTGATGTGTGATGTAGTATAGACATTTGTTTTCCTGCAAACAGGCTTAAATAACAAATGTGCAAAATAAACAGAACTTTCCTGATCATGTGCTTAGAATTTGTTTTGGGTAGATAATCTTTTTGTCTTCTCGGCTTGTCAGAGTTGTTCTGCTAATCAGACGAAAGTGAATTTCTTCCATTCGCCGTGCACACCTTACATTTAATCTCCCAGAGACTCAATTTGACGTCTAAGTAGGTCACTACCGCGCTAAGATATTGTTACTGTGGTTGCGAACCTTTCTCAAAACTGGCATTTGCTACTGGGAATTTTTCCCCTATGGCCGATTATAAAAGACGTTACTTGTTCAGCTATCGGATATTTCCAATCAAAATCATCTTAGCGAAATGTCGCTTATAAATTGACGTGCGTGATGAGAAATTTGCGTTGTATCTTCTGCAGCTTCTATTAATGTGGATAAGCTATGGGCTCAACTGATATTCAACAGATCAGACTCACAATTCGCAAGCAATAAGGTTTTCAAAGGTAGCTGTCATTTCAATCCACTGGAAAATGCTTGGTAACGATTGGGAAGTCATCAATTTGGAGGTTTGGTAAACAATCGGTGAATTAATCGCTCGGTGGAGTTTCGCTGTTCACACAAAAGCTTTGTCAGGCCAAGTGAGTAAATAACCAGGTTGATCGTGTTGATGGGGCAGCCAGGAAACTTATCTATAATACATCTTATGACTATCCGAATTGATCAGTTCTGGGAGTCGGTCTTTGGTTAGTGGGAATAACTGACATCTAAGATGGGTTAGACGGATTGTGTTCGTCTTGAAACCGAGGCTTTAGGCCTGTGTGGGTTGAGCTCTGCCAAGACAACTGGGTTGTGGTTGGGGGCTTGCAAGTTAGGCCTACTCGGCTTGGATTTTGTACTTTAAAACCCAGCCATTTTGCTGAAAACTCCACACAACCTAGTATCATCTCGACTGGTTTATAACAGCGTTCCATACGCTTGCTGGTTCTACACCCTATATTCTAGTCACGGTGGCACGCTTGGTATATTCCACCATCTCGGCCACCAGTCGCCAAGATGACGCGAGGTGGTGTGCAGTAATCAGCAAAATAGCTGGGTCTAAAAGTACAAAATCCAAGTCGAGCAAGATCTAACTTACCAGTCCCCTAAACCCGCCATTCCGATTGTTCCGGCTTCTCTCGACGCATGCAGGCCTAAACATCGCGGTTTCAACATGTAGACAATGCCCCCCTAACAAATGTTGAATGTTAGACACCCCCACCAACCAACGAACCGGAACTCAGACTGACTCCCAGCACGGACGAAGTCAGCTAGCCACAAGCTATCTTACGGATCGGTTCCCTGACTCCCCCATCAACTCGACCAACCTAGTTATTTACTCACTTGGCCTGAGGAAGTTTTTGTGTGAAAATCGAAACGGCGCCGAGCAACAAATCTACCGATTGTTTACTAAATCTTCATGTAACTGTCATGTTTTTATCTTGTTCGAAGATTAAACGGGTGAAAAGGATAGGCTCTGGCAATATAATGAGAAAAGTAATTAGTGGATGTCTCCAAGCCAAAATATTATTAGGGTACAATACTATTACTTGAACTTCAAGGCTACCGCAGATAAGCTTTGTCAATTTTTTTTTCACAAACGAAACAGTACAGAACTAAACTTGATACATAGGTTAGCCAACGTTCGCCGCGACTGGTTTAACAGCACCCTTATCTACTAGGTCTGACGTCCAAAGACAGTGGTAGTATAACGGTGATGCTACTGGCGGAAAGACATGCGAGTAGTATGTTTTCTTTTTGGAAAATCGCCTTGCGTCTCTTGAAAAATCTGTTGCAGAATTTGTGGAGTCGCTTTGTAGAATTTGATTGGATTTGAGCAAAAATCCATGAATATCCAGGGAAGTTCGGAAAGACGCGTTCAAAGAGTAGATGGATATTCAGTTTTTGTAAACAAGATGCATATGAGAGTTTTGCTTCCCTGTCCAATGGTCTGTAACTGTTCAGTTAGCATTTCTAATGAATGACTCCTCAGCGAGGACCTTCTTCATTTCATTAGTGGCTACCTGAATCTGCAGCCACGACTGGACATGGAGTAAGAAGGCAATCTGTTCGCATATTTTAAATAATTTAGAATGAGCAGTTAATTTCAGTGCTGGAATACCGAGGCTGAAGTCATCTTCACGCGACCTCAATGGGCAACGCCCACTGACACTCCATCTTTTGGAGCAAGCAACGCAAAATCGGGGACACACCCACACAGTTTCCCATCCAAGTCGAACCTAAGATCTATGGCCATCGACGAGACAACCGACGCACGATGAATAATCCCTCGTTGATGCCAATTGATTATGGGAGCAATTAACAAAAATGGCCAAAACAGTAGGAATATTGTAACTGTAGAGTCAATCCAATGTACCGTTATGGTTTGAGGAACTTGCAGAAAGTCACCTGCCAATAGGAATGCACATTAGTCCGCTCGACAAGTGAACTTCACAAAATAACGTTGGTTTCCATTGTTTAACCCTGGCGTAGTGGAAACAGCATTCGTTGAAGTTGGAAAACAGAGTTCAGTGTTTCGAAAAATACCACTATTGGCACACGAATATAGTATTTTCAGGGGAATCAACTAAATCAAACTAGTTCTCCCGCTTATGACGATCCGCTTCAACTGAATTTGCTGAATCGGCATAAACAAGAGGCTCAGTTGATTTCAAATGTCCCATGTGAAAAACGAAATTGTGTGCAAATGGGAGAAGTTGTCAAATCGGTCCAGTTTGGGTACAAATACAACTTAAGGCTGACTGAACCTGGGGAACCGGCTTATCTGCCATGCCCTGAAAAGTGCGAAATGGTCGTGGGCTGTCGAAGATATTTCAGCAACCTTATGAATAGTGTGTAAAATCTCGACAACATATTTCAGCACTACTGAAGTTTTTTCAGTTGGGTCTCCATAAAAGACATCTAAAACATGTGGAAAACATGACAGTAAAATGCTCACCTGGTCATCTTTAACTCCCAGAATTAAATTTCCAAATGATTGTTCAAAACATATAATGAAACTGGAAACACCTGATGAATTAAAAATAAAAAATAGATTTGTTTATGAGTTTTATATTGCACTATCCTAGCCGATTACTGTAGATCAATGGAATAGTCATACTTTTGTTCAGCTATTTACTCACCTACGCAATGAATAAGAATATAGTTACAAATACAATCGATAATCTTGTAAGCTTCACAATCTCCCTCCTCATTTCATTCAATGGGAGCAAACACTTATGGTGCGGCCAACGTAGGACTGGCACAATATTAGGATAGGGAGGGAGTAAAGCTTTATGCAGTTCAAGAGTCGGATGAAGGTAAAAGACGATATATAAAAGATGAATCCGTTCCATTAAAGAACAAATGAAAAAGTGGCAGCTCTAACTTGTCCATCAACGCGCACATTGTTTCTCGATAGGCCTGAGAAATGCTCTGGCAATGGAAAATGAAGCTGAGAAATTGGTGATAACTAACATTCGAAGTTGCAAGAGAGGGTCCATTTCTTTAGAATATCTTTCAATGGGATTAGAACCTTTTTGAAGTTGCTTTTGTTCAACTTATTCTGTTGAACTGAAAGCGCACAAAAAAGTGAACGTTCATGAAGAAAACCAATAGTAAATATCTGGATATCGTGCGTCTTCACATTGACGAAAGGCTTCTGTTCAAACTTCAGTCTAGTCTTACAAAACTGCATTGTGAATCATGGACGCTTAAACGACCGGAGGAATTTTTCAAGACTTATAAATTAATCAGCATAGCCGTTTATTTGGAATTTCGCACTTCCTCCATCACATATGGTAAAAATAAAGCATTTGATGAGGGAAAGCGCGCTCCCCTCGTTAGAATTTGTTAGGAAAATAACAAACGTATTCACGTGTACAGTTAAGTTCATAGTTCAGTTCACGTATATCAGTTCAAATATAGTCTAAGCAGATGACTGAAGTCATGTTGTATTTCGCCCGCGAATTACTGGACATGCCACTTCATTTCGTTATTCAAGAGGCCATCTTAGCCCTTGGCTTTGTCATCGACCACAGTCATCTTGGCTTCCAATGAAATTAATGAAATGAGAAGAGCGAGCGCGGTCGCGCATGCACGTTGGACATCCAACGTTCTCTTCAAAACTCTTCACTGGTCATCTCGCCCAATTTTACAAGCATCCCAAAAAACTCGAGTTCAATGAGTCACGTGACAACCCACCGATTTCATGCTACAATAGGCCTACATTACATTCACCGTTTGCAAATGAGCCGGTTATCATCGACAGGTAGAGCGGCGGTTTACGACCTGTTGCAAACTCCGTTCCCGTTTCACTACTTTGCGAAAATCATTCGACTCTAGAATCTTTGCTGACCATCACATACTTGACGAAAAATCACCCGATTCACCAAACGACATTTGAGACGTAAGGTAGTTTTGTCGGTCATATCAATGGTGTATGGGAAATTCGGCTCCGGCGACTACTATCCATAAATAAGGTGCTTCTAAATAAACAAGAAAGGCGTCTTAA